TATATATATATATATATATATATATATATATATATACCTGAACTTGCTTTCAATGCTAAATATTTTAATAGTTACAGTTTCTATCGTAAATTTCTGATTCTATACTTACACTTTTTAAAGCTAATCTACTTGCAACATATCCACCTACACTGTATCCAATTAAAATTGCTTTGGGAATACAATTAGTGTCCATGAAATAATTTAAGTCCTCGACAAGCAGGTCCAATGTGAATTCCTCAGTCCATTCACTGTCACCATGATTCCTTGCGTCATAGACATAAGCCTAATGGGGTACATTATAAGTCTCTTATTCATCAGATACACTAAATAATGTCTGTAACAGCTTCGGTTGCCTATTAGGGTACCCATAATGAAGTACATTGTTGATCTTCTGATGTGTGAGATAATGTTTGTAGTTGTTTTTGTTTTATATTGGGCAAACAATACATTATTTACGAAGTTTAAAAAAGACACGAAGACCAACTTGCTATGGTTTATGGGCAATTTTTTTTTTCGTTGGCTAACTTTATATCTTAATATATGATTCTTAGAATAGTAAATTTTGTTTTACTAGACTCATGGTTCGAAAATTCATATAAACTGGTTCTTTGCTCCTGTACTGTTATGCTACTATAATTAAATGCTACTATAATAAACAAAAATTCTTAAATGATTAAGCAATATATTTTAGTTTTTTACCCATATATAAAATATTTTGCTAAAGTGTGAACAGCTGGAAGTGCTGAAAAAATGACTGTCGAAAACCGCTTCTAAATTTTTGTTGATTCACATTTATTGTGAAGAAATATATATAATGAGTTTATTAATGAGCAGAAAAGATCCAAATACCTTTGGTTGTCATCAAAACAACAATAAACAATTTTATCCAGTTTATTTTTTTACCAGAAAAATTAACCTATATACCGTTTTCTTTTCTTTAAATGTATTAATCAGATACATTTATTTATCAATCTAATATTATCTGCATATGGAATATTTATTTATCAATTAATACTATATCTCTCTATTATTTTCTCCATATTATAACGTTCTCGATTTTTGACCTTGATTTAAATTCAAATCGAGTTTTTTTTCATTATAAAGTTGTTCTATAGTATTACCTTAGCATGCAACACTTTGTACTGAATTTTTTAACAGAATTTAATTAACGGAATTTTTTTAAATTGTGAGTTGTTAAAAAACTACAAATGTCATAAATAAAAATAAAACTATAAAACTAAAAATGTTATGCATTCTGATAGAAAAAATGAATTCATATTGATTTATTAAATTTAATGTAAATGAACTAATTTTCGTTGAAAATACAATGTTTTCTAGTTCAAAAAAGATTAATTTTAAATACAGGGTGCTCCATAAAGATCAACCTTAATCAGTATTTTTTAAGTATTTTTGAGAAATAAAAACAAATTTCTCCGAAAACACTTAAAAAACTAATTTATATTGTAAAAGATTTATTTTTCATTCGATTTTTCATACACATCAATAAAGTTTAAAGCTTTCAACGGTTTGAGTGGCCGGCAATAAAATATGATCGAAGAGGAGTTTTTTTAAAATATATAACATTTAACATTATAAACATTTTATACATATATGCCGAAAAATGCAGCTATAACCTTCTAACTCATATCAATTACTTTAATTATGATATGTTACAACTGCACAAAATTACGTAAATGTAGATTAAATGTTCAGGGAATTATTTGCATTTTCATTAAATAAAATAAAATAAAATAAAAATTGCTTACCGCTGTTTTACTGTAACTTTAGAAATATTGAATAAAATTAAACAATATTTTTGGAGGAATTTATAATTAATCAAGAAATATAATTTTAAATTTGAAAAAAAAAAAAAATCACTGAAAATTGCACAAGATATGAGCATTTAAATTCGTCATTTCATACTGCGCATGCGCGGTTAGCATTCAATTTTTTTCTTCCTTTTGATTTTGTTGTGAATCGTATTTGGTAACTTAGGAGAAAGTCCGATTGCTGTCTTATAGATCTCGCCTAAAAGTTTCTCCCCTACCTGAATGATTGATGAGGTGGGCGGAGGAGCTCTATTGAAAAACCGCACCTGTTCCCGTAGATGATTACTCGCCAAATCTTTATGATGCCAATGACGATAAAGGGTCTCAAATGGAAAACCGATTTCCCTCCGTTTTGAGAGACATAGTTGATTAATTCTTTCTTTAGTGGGAGAGTGAAACTTGCGAAATTTTTCGGATGCGCAAGGGATTTTTAGGGATTTGAGTTAAAACATTACACGACATTTCCGAGTGTTTTTTTATGGGTACCGTTCAAATGACAAGGGGGGGTACTCCGATGCTAACTTTTTGAAGATTATCTATACATATCGTGTGTCTTCGTGCATTTTTTATACTTAAATTTGAAGGGCATACTGCATTGCATTATCCGATTGAAAATGCTGGGAATAATCAAACTNTACTTTAATTATGATATGTTATAACTGCACAAAATTACGTAAATGTAGATTATTAGGAATTATTTGCATATTCATAAAAAAAAAATATATAAAAAAAAATTGTTTACCGCTGTTTTACTGTAATTCTAAAAATATTGAATAAAATTAAAAAATATTTTTGGAGGAATTTATAATTAATCAAGAAATATAATTTTAAAATTGAAAAAAAAATCATTGAAAATTGCACAAGATATGGGCATTTAAATTCGTCATTTCATACTGCGCATGCGCGGTTAGCATTTAATTTTTTTCTTCCTTTTGGTTTTGTTGTGACTCGTATTTGGTAACTTAGGAGAAAGTCCGATTAATATATTTCGAAAACGTAAAACAATTCTAGAATTTTTCTAAGTAGCAGTCATTTAAGGAAAGTTTTAACTGATAAGGGGTTTTCCACAAATATCATTTTCCATCATAAAACAAAGTCGACAACAAATAATAAACAAATGGCCCAGACAATATAAAGAAAGAAAACATATGAAATGATTGGAGATGGTAATCTATAATACCGATGCAATTTTTAATAAATCTTGTGTTATAGTGCAAGATGAAATTTGCAGGAGGCCATTCAGAGCTTCGATTCTTTCAATATTTACTCAAGTGCCCAGATGGCTCAGGGGATAGAGCATTCGTCTTCCAATGAGGTGAACCGATTTCAAATCCCAGCGATGGCTGGTCAATACGAATTCCTCGTAGGGCTTGCACCGACCACAGTGCTGACGTGAAATATCCTCAGCGGTATCCCCTTGCCGTCAGGCTAATCGTGGGAGGTTCTAGTGGATTTCCTCTCCATGTAACGCAAATGCGGGTTAGTTCCATCATAAAGTGCTCCAAGAAAAAAACATTTCACCCAATACTTGATCCATGAGTTCCCCTGTCTTCTGGATTGGATTCAAAACTACAAGGCTACGTAGTTGAACATTAGTAGTCGTAAACCCAAAAATTGTGTGAGTGTTCAACAGCGGTTATAAAATAAAACAAAATATTTACTCAAACGGCTTAAAAATTGTTAGAAGCTTTTTAAATTTTTAGGATATTCAAATCAGACTTTTTTCTTCAATTGGCAAATAGGATTCAAAACAAAATTACTAAAAATATTTTTGTTTTTTTTTTTGTAATATTAAGAGATTACTTTAAATGCTCATATCATGCACGATTTTTAACGAACTTTTTTCAAATTTTAAAATAATATTTTTGCTATTACTTATAAATTACACCAAAAATTTCGCTTAATTTCATTGAATATTCCTACAGTTATAGTAAGAAAACGTAAGGCAAAAAATCATTTCTCTTTTAATGAAGTTGTCCAAATTTGCATGAATATTTAGATAAGGTTTTGTCTTGATATTGCATGCAATAACTAAAATAATTGATACGAGTTACCAGCTTGCTATTATATTTTTTGGCATAGGTGTTCAAAAACACGCTTTTTTGTTCGTAAAAACACTCTCGTTCACACAGCCGAAAGCTTTAAGCTTTATTGGTGCTTACGAGCACTTGCATAACCTAAACTTTTCTAAAGTTATAAAATAATACTCTAATTATTTCCTGAGAAATTTGAAAAATGCTAAAAAGTGAAAGTGTCTCTTCCTTTAATGTAAGACTACATATTTAAGTGAGGAAACAAGAAAGACGCTTTTGAAACTTGATAAATTCGTGATAGTTAAAGGAGAGGAAACAACTTCAAATTTCAACATCAATTAAACCTGTTTTAAAGTTTCATGTCCACCTTCCTTTATTACGATTCACCAGATTTTGATTGCGTCTTCGTATTTCCTTGCTTAATTAGCATTTTGTATCATTCAATGTACGTTTTGTTTTTCTTTTTAATAAGGATTGTAAAAAAATAAGGTTGGTCTTTGCGGTACGACACCCTATATACGTAAAGAAAAGGAAACAATACATGGGTGTATAACAAAATTGGTATAGAATATCATTTAGCTTTTGACGTTTTCTTTAAAAAAAAAACTTTATACCTTTCTTTTTGTCAGATCACAAATTGTTTGGGCAATATTTAGCCACACTTCTTTTGATTCCATTAAACCATGAAGAAAAATAATTGGGCTCAACGATAAGTCTAAACCATCTTCAGGTTTAACAATAAGGAATGAGAACTTTATTGGAATATAGCTGAAAGAAAAACAGATATTTTAAGATATTTTCAAAGTGTAACAACATACTTTATTATTTATTTATTCCGATCGATTTTTATTTGATGATAACTTCTAGGATAAATGATTGCTGAATCAATTTTTGTTTATTGAAACAGCATAATCTTTAGATATATTTTTCTTATGTGGCACCATAAACTTGGGTATTTCTCTATCTATTGGTAACACTATAGTTATGATTCATTATATTAGGTTTCCTTAAGTAATAATTCAGGTAGTGTTGTAAAATTAGAGGAGCATAAGCATTTATTTAGTTTCATTTTAGTTAGACGTTTAGTATTTATTTCGAGTTATTCTGTAATTTTTTAGAAATAAATACTTAGCTACGAAGTAATTAATTAGATATATTTTTGATCCTTTCTAAAATGTTTGTAGAAATTTCAACCCTAAACGGTGCTATGGTGTCACATACTGTCATACCAACTATGGATGACGAAGCTTGTGTATTTCAAACTCAATTTATGGCTCGAGAGGTGTGTGAGGAAGTGGTACAATGTGTAATGGATGAGTTTCTATATTATCGCACGACAGAGGTGGAAATAAATACTTCTGCTGGCTGAAATGACCGACTTACGACGGTTTGTACTGTTCAATGACAGTCGGACACACATTAAATTATTACTGAAATTCAACAAATGAACAACTTTTACAATATCGCAGGCATCTCTTGGAAACAGTTAAAATTGAAATCAAAGTACTTCCGCTCTGTCAACAGCTAGACGGTGAAAAAATCTGGTTAATATAGTGTTTAAAACTAAAAAAGGTGTTAGGATTGGAGGAGTGGTTGAAGAATTAGAATATTTAAACACTGTTGGTCTGTGCATTCAGTTTGGTTACCAATAAAGTTTATATCACGTTCTAGATTTCTTGAAAGGTGACAAAACTGATCCCCGAAGGTAGCTAGTAATAATTAAAATCTGCACAAAAATTGATTAGGTTGAATAAGAATAAATCAAAGGTCAAAAAATTCTATCACGACCGAAATTTCTTTTTTCCCAATCGAAACTCCCAATACCTGCTATTTTGAATCCTAATTGTTTCTTAATCCCTCTCTTCTTACATCAACTTGAGTAAACAAAGCATTCTGTGTGTTCAGGTGATAGCGTAAATCCTTACGATATCGTTTTTCGCTGTTTTAAGTCCAAATCCATTTTTAACTTTAAACACAAATCTTTCGGTATTGATGAGCGCTTTATTAATTTCCTTTGAACGCTATTGCCACATGAAATATCGCTTTCTATAATTTGTTGCAAGTTAGGAAAAAGCCATTATCCTTATGAAGAGAGCCTGTTTGCATCTAATTGCACGCCAAATGGATGCGCCAACCTCCCTGAGCGAACGTATATCAACATCGCCAACTCTTAAAACAACGTTGCATAACCTTTCTTTTTTGCTAGCTTTCTTAAACCGTGTGAAAGAAAAAAAAACTTATTTAATAAAATTTATTGTTTTGCTTTCTAAAATAGTAAAGAGTAGCATCATTTTTAATTAATGCTTTCCGTTCGCATTTAAAGGAACTGATGAAAGAGTATTAAATATTGTGTCTTGCAGACGATTTTCTTCTACTGCGAAACAAAAGTCAAAATTCTTTTTCTCGCATTTGATTTGTTAAGGACAAGTCAACATAAGACGCGCCATTTTTATTAGTCCAATGAAATCCAATACTCTGGCAGCGTCATATAGTTGTTTCTTTCTGAAGATTTTATGTTCTCCTTATTTATCGAGATATGTCTCCAAGTGTTTAGGATTCCTGTAAGATGACGAAACTATAACACAAATTAAATTTCTGTCTGGCGTGTTTAACTTCGTAAAGTTTATTTTGTTGTTTTAAAAGCGTATTTGTATAATTTGATATAGCAATGAAATGGAATTATATGCAGTCGCAGATGATTACTTTAATCCTATACCACAATGGTTTTTCTTAACTTGCAACGGAGTATAACTAATAATTTTCTATTTATATAACTCGTGTGAGTTTGTAACAGTCATTCATCACTGTTAGGTCAATTTATGCCAACTTTTAGCTGGTACTGAACGTAGCACAAAACGTCACTACAGTTTTGTGAAAATGAAAAGAATTCGTGAGTTAGTTTTTTACTATTTAATAAATTGCTCTAACGCTGTATTGTTTAAGTTTATAAAAATTAGAAAAAGCTGAGAATTATTCATCGGCATTAATATTTTTCCTCTAGGTGAAAAAACCTCGCCAAAATAGCGATTTTTAAAAAAAGTGCAAACTAATAACTTCTTAATTCTTCTTCAATAATTTCTAAAATATTTAAATTACTTATACGTTCTAAAGTCCATGTGAATCATTACGACACAATAATACAGTTTAGCATTAAAAAGACAGGTGGGGCTTTTTTTGGCTCCTCTCTTATTGCTTTGCATTAAAAAAAAATTTTTTGAAAATATTGAATTTTTTTAACTTTTTATAATTTCATCCAATTTATGTGCTTAATTTAATTAATCATGAGTTAACCTTATAGGAACGCACATCTAGAACCTTATACCTAGAACCTATACCTAGATAAGTAGGTTTGGGTATAAGGTACCCCAGTTTAATTTTTAAAAAAATAGGAGTATTTAGGAAGATCTTAAACTATTAGTTATAGAGAAAATAAAATTCAATTGTCAATGAAACTAATGTATAAGTATATTCATAAAGTCTTTGTTCCGTTTAATCAAATCGAAAAATATGCCATAAAATATTTATGATCAAGCAACCAACATGTTTTTTCTTTAAATTTGAAGATTTTAGATGTCTGATTGATCTCAGCAGAAGCAATTTGCGAAGGGCCCCTTCTCAATCTCTAGGCAAAGTTCAGTGTTTGTTAGGTTACAATAGTTTGCCTCGTCTGCAAGGTATTTAAACAGAATTTTTTTTTTTGCACTGAAAAAGCTTTAAGAAAACACTGATAGTATAAAAAGGAGATCCCGATGTCTTTGGCTATCATTGGCATTAAAACTATAACTCTATTGTTTTTCACATTATTATTTAAAATTAAAGACTTAAAAGCAAAAACGAAACGGAGTTATTTTTTATCGTATAAATTAATCTCATTCTGTAACGTTTAGTCTCTGTTTTTCAATTATTAAATTAGTAATTTTTAATGGGGTAGTAATTAATATTTTTAAAATAAATGTCACTTGAAATAGTGCCAAGTCAAAATATCTAATTGACTGCAAAATAACTACTTGAAACTCTAAAGCAGAAAACGGGAATCAACTTATCGCACGATTAATAAATAATATCTTCGGCTGAAAAAACTAACAGGTTTTTACAATAACTGAAAATTAAATAAGAATATTAAATGGAATTTTGTGAAAGTTGCTATGGTTAGGGAGAAAATTTTATGTTTAAATGTTACCCCTATAAAATCGGAAATTAAATCTATGGAAGCAAATTTAGATTAAAACAATAAATTTTTTTTAATTTTATAGAATAAGTATTAATTTCGATGTCTGTTGAAGGAAATAAAAAGGATTGCAAAGCATTTGGGGTTGATGCGCGAAACGAGAAATGATTCGATTTGGACATCCCTTTCAAATTCATTCTCTGAAATCAGGGTTTAAAAAACTAAATTTGGTCGTTGTGTATGGGTTAAAAATGGTTAAAATTTCAAGTATACAATTATTTATTTATTTATTTAAAAGAAACATTTATGTTTAAATTAAAAACTATTACCTTTTTAAACGAATCCTTTAGGATGCAATAAATATTTAAAATGACAATAAACTTGCGAAAGTAAAAAGAAAAAGTTTAAATTTATTCTTAAATGAATGCATACGTTCTCTTTTCTTCAAATAAAAATTTGAATATTTCAAACCTGAAATCAAATATGACTGAAAATATAATGCAATTGAAAAAAGCAAGTAAATGTCATGTTAGTGAGTTTGAGTAAATAAGCTTTAAAGTATATACTTTCTTCTTTTTTGTTATTTTGCTCCATCTATACGTTTTTAGTATAATTGTCTCTCAAATTTTTGGGGGTATAGTTATGTAACCGTAACTCTTTTTTAAAGGAAGACTTTTTAAATCATAATAAAAATTTCATGATTATATCGATGCAATTGGACATAAAAATCAAATACCAAAACATAAATTGCACCATCAATGCTATTCTCTGCTGAAGGGTTGCAAAATAAAAGTGAACTGTCTGTGTTTCGATCATGTGTACACTTAATCAGTCTCCTCTGAGTCAAGCCGATTTTATTGAAATTNGTCTCCGTTGGGTAGGAGTCAGACTAAGAGAGATACCTAGGAGAAGGAAAACTCCGATCCAAACCCGTACCCAGCGTCTGTACTTCATGTTAGGAGCGGCTTGGGTGTCTGAGGAGCTAAGACAGTCTTCTACCTCCGGGTGCTGCAATCTTCGGACAAACAGATGCTGCAAATTACCTTACCATGAACCAGTTGACCAATGTTACAGCCAACCGCATCCATGATCTTACCTATCTTGAACTTTTCTCCCTGAAGAAATCCCAGCTTCTCAGAGACTGGTTGATTCCCCCCACCCACCATTGGTACAAGGGAAATAAGCCTGGAGCTTCTTTGACCCTTCCCTTTGAAAGGAGAGACTGCACCACCATCTCCCGCCTAGATACCGGCCATCTTAAAGGTTTACTATTTTCTGAGGGAATTAAAACCTCTGCCCTAAATGCCGGGTTTCCACCGATCACATCCAGAAGAGGATAAGCAACAACAACAGAATATTAGCATTATTTTCATTAACAAATTACATATTTTATCTAGTGAATACCTGGATTAAGATAAATATTTTATAAAGAAAAAACAGGATTTTCCAACGAATTTAGTTAGGAGTTTTTAGGTCATTAAAATATAAATGTTTATACAATTTAGAAAATTTACCAATATTTTATTGCAAATAATAATTTTTATAAAATAATAGTTTAAGAATACACTTACAATAAAATTTATTTGAATTAATTAACTAAAATTAATATGGATTTCAATTTCTATGAATACATGTCATTCCAATGATTTTTTCTTTTTATTTAATGAGATTTTAAAGATACACTCAGCACGCCATTTTTAAGGCACTTTTATTTTAGCAATTTGTACCCTATTTTCTTTTGCGACCGCACTGCCATCTGTCTAATAAAAAAGACAACCTTTTCATATTTATCGAAGACTGCTTCATTCATAAATATTTCACACAAAAAAAAGAAAGGTTTGTCGCTATGGTTTTTTAATTTTTTGTGATCGGATAAATTTTAATATTCATTAATTTTCTTCCGTGCCAGTTACTTTTTGTTTCATCAAGCAACAAATGTTAACTGAAAATAATTAATTTCGATTTAATTTAATGAAAAACAACTGTGTGTTCTTTTGTTTTTTTTTTTCAAATAAAATGCATACACAATTTAAATAAATACAAAATATTCTGGAAAACAGTATGCTATTTGTTTGCTCGATAAGTGTATTGTTGTATTATGGAATTCAATTATAAAAAACAAAAGATATAAAGCTACTAGTTCTAATAATACTTCTAGTTCTGAAAACTCTAGTTCGTATTTTCACTTATGAATTCAGTAAAATTATTATTTTTTTACATTAAATTATATTGAATTTTCGTAGTAAGGAATTGATATTTTTTATAACTACAAACAATAAATAAAGCGATTTTATTATGTTTCTTTTCTTAAAAATTTTATTCGATTTTAGCGATTCTTATTCAATTTTAATATTTATTCGATTAAGATCCAAAGAAAATAAATAACAATGCAAAGGTGTGACCTTTCGTACTGTTCCATATTAAGATTATGATGCTTAAAAAGTGACATTTGTGAAAACCTTCGGGAGTATAACATTAAATTATTAAAATACTTATTTCTGCGATTTACTTTTATAAAATAAGTAGCAGAATCAAAAGAAATTCTTCATTTTGTTTAATACATTATCACACGAAAATGGATAGAAATTTAATAAGAAACAATATTGAAAGGAAACTCTTTATTTTGCCTAATACATTGTCACCAAAATATCGACAGATATTTAAAAAGAAACCAAACCGAGAAAAGATTCTTCATTTTGTTTAATACATTGTCACTCAAATATTGAAAGAAACTATTTCAAGCAATTATTGCTAAATAAAAGCTTATCCTCTAGAGTATTGGTTAAATAATAACATGAGAAACTTTTACATTATTGCATCAAAACTACATTTATTACACGAAAAACAAAATATTAAACATTTCTGGAATATTTACTAAATTCTTAAAAGAATTGAAAGTTTTTATTTTTCATAATTTTTTTCATTTCCTTATAATTGAAAATATGAAATATAGCATAAATGTTTCAGTATTAGCTAAGATTTTAGCAAAATTTTAATTTTTGATATTCCATGAATAAATTTATATAAAGGTTTTCTTACTCAGATCGATTAATTCCATATTTTGTAGATATCCTGTTCTCCCACTTCGTTCTAGTCATTATTTATTTAATTCTTATGACTGTTAAGACACTGAAAAAATATCTAAATAAAGAAATTACTCTTTATTTAACCCGCAATAAATATTTATATGAATGATACTTTAATTGTACAAAAATGATGACACACTTTCCAGAATGACTTTGAGAAAAGATTAAAAAACATTTCCTGGTATTGTTTCCTTAGGTAGATATTTTATTAAGAAGTGTTTTCCTCTAAGGTGTAATAACTCCAGTACTCATTACTTTCACAGAAATAATACTACTTTATGCTATAAAAAGCATGTAAACTAGGGAATCTCAAATTTTTCTGGTTAAATCTACCCTTTTAGTTCATGAAGAATCAATTTTTAAGCCCAAAACAAGCCTGTAAATTAACATATTATTTGATACGCCAAATGAAAAATAAAAATTCCCTTGTTCATTTTATTCAATAGCATAGATTTCGGGCAACAAATTTCGGTGCAAGTGTAAAATCATGTCAACCAGGAAAGTTGGCTCAAATTCCATCAAGGTGAAATCAAATCGTTTAATATTGAAATCAGTGCTTATTTAATGAAAATTTTTAAAGAAAAGTTCATTTTAGGGAAGAAAAAAATTTTTGAGATTAATATTTTAGAACATGCAATAAAAAAGAAATTGTAAAAAAAATTTTAATTATTTTGTGGAAAAAAAAACTAATTTTACTTTAAATTTATATTATTTTAGTAACAAAAAATGACTATTTAATGAAAAACTCTAGACGACTTTTTACCACGATATTTTACCATTGTTGGCATTGTTTACCATTGTTTGGCGCAATTTTTAAATTTTTCAAAATGGTTGACGGAATTTTACGTAATGATTTAAGTTTTGAAGCAATAATTGAACTCTAATACTTGTGAGTTGTTTTGTGCGGAAGAATGTAATTTCAAAAACGATATGAAAACAATTTTGGAATTCAAACTGCCCAAGAAATAAATTTTTAAATTATTCATGAATATTAATCAGAAATTTTTTACTGATATGATTTTACTTAACTGCACGGAGAAAAAAATTCTGGTAAAATTATCGTACTATCTCGCAAGAACTTTTCATGCAAAAAAATAAATAAATAAAAAAAAAACATATTTTTGGTTAATAAATGGAAAATACGTAACTGAGAAGTAAATTAAACCAAATAAATGGCTCGTATGCCATGCTCAAAGGTATCATGTTAAAAGTTTTAAATTTTGCCGAAGTGAAGAAATTTTTTCACTTATTATAAAATCTAAAATCATATTTATATTTTCAATTTTGCTAAAATCAATCACTAAGTCCTTCCGAAACTGGCGTACATAATGGTGTCTCCATAAAGTCAGAAACACGGTAAATTTTGGCTGGTAATTTTAAGCATACTTTTTGTGTGAGAATATTTCTTATGAATACATTAAAACAGCTTCGTGATATTAATCAGTATTTTTGTTGTGTCAAGCAATCCACAATAATATTTAAAAACTTTTCTCGACCTTCAGCATGAATGTTGTGGGAAACTCCTTCAAATTTTATGAGTTCAGCATTCGGAAAATGTTTCTTGATATTCTCTTCATCAGCTCCACTAAATAAGAATACAATAAGTAACTTATTTAGACAACAACAAAGAAAAGTTACAAATTTTCAACATAACAATTTGTTTTTCAAATAAAAAATAAAATAACAAAAATTAGATTGCATTTTTTTCAAAGTCATGTAGATGTAAAACCTGCTTATTGTCCTTACGGAAAACGATTGCGTTAAATACATTATAGAGTTTAAGGATTAATGTTTAAGCAAAGATAAATTGCTTCTGAAATATAATGAATTACTAGGTAAGAAATTGGGATTAAAAACATCAAATCTTGTTTTATTGTCGGACGAGACTTGCAGGCGTTTCCTATAGTAACCTTTCACTTTCTCTCTTTTTCCTCCAGCAATCCTCTAGGATTTTAATGCTTCCTCTCTCTTCTCTGTAATAACTATTTTTTAAACAATTAATAAATCAGCATCAGCAACAAAGGGTGGTATACATTTTCTCGGTATTCCCTGACCATATTCCCCTAATAGCTTTTTTTTTAAACAGTAAATAGTCATTCTGGGACGAATTTTTTGCTCGGCCAGTATGGTATTGATGTCATATACCGATATTTATTTTCTTATAATAAAGAGTCATTGTGAACTAATATAATGTAAATATTTATTTCTAGTCCAGGAGCTCCATAGCATTTTTTTTAAATTAATCATTGAACATTATTAAAAATGATCTAAAAAGCCGATGCGAGAATTATGTGTGTTTCATAAAAATGTTTTACGATTTAAAGAAAATTTTATAGTATGATTGTCAACGCAGTAATATTTAAGAAAAAATTAAATAAAATAAATCACTAATTTTTCTCTCCCTTAGGAAAATTTGCCATAGAGAAGCCTATGGTAATCTATGGCAACCTATGGCTACCATAGAAATTTGTATGGCAAGATACCATACGCCTATGGTTACCATAGAGATTTGTATGGCACAACACCATAAGCCTATGGCTACCATAGAGATTTGTATGGCACAACCCCATAAGCCTATGGCTACCATAGAAATTTATATGGCAAGATACCATACGCCTATGGTTACCATAGAGATTTGTATGGCAAAACCCCANAACGGTATTTCCTGAACATATTCCCCTAATAGCTTTTTTTTTTTAACAGTAAATAGCCATTCTGGGGCGAATTTTTTGCTCGGCCAGTATGGTATTGATGTCATATACTGATATATTTTTTTTTATAATAAAGAGTCATTGTGAATGAATGTAATGTAAATATTTATTTCTAATCCAAGAGCGATTGCTCCATAGCATTTTTTTTTAAATTAATCATTGAACATCATTAAAAATGATCCAAAAAGCCGATGAGAGAATTATGTGTGTTTCATAAAAATGTTTTACGATTTAAATAAAATTTTATAGTATGATTGTCAACACAGTAATATTTTAAAAAAATGAAATAAAATAAATCACTAATTTTTCTCTATAATTTATGTAAGTCAAAACATACTATCATATCCAAAATGAGTATGGTTTGTGTTACGTATACTAAAGCAAAAAACAACGCGAATACAGCACAGACAAAATACAGAAACTTCTTTTGAGCTATATTCACTATGATTTTTGCTTTATTCATTCAATCATAATTTGTCTAAAGGCAATTTATAATTGTATAAAATGCCAAAGCAATGAATGCATTGCTGGCAACTGGTGTACCTCGTTAACGGTAGGGAACACGTTAATAACTTGTGAACGAATTCTCAATTATCAAATTATTTAACTTTTAATTTCTGAACTAGTGGTTGCAACTTGTAAATTGTAAGAATTGAAAGAATATATCGAAGAAGGAGTTCATAAAACAAGCATGTCTCATGGACTTTCGAAAACATTTTAAAATGTTCTTTACTAATTTTTGTCACGTATGTTTCGTCTCCAAAACGTGATTCGTATCCACGTTTTATTTTGAAATATCATCGCTTATGAATTTCTTTCGATTGCAAAACAGCGACGCTGACTTGGAATACAAACTAAACCTATTACTGAATGTTACAGCTGTAAAGTGTTCAGAGTTGCTATAGAATAATTATCATTTACCGTTATTTTATTATACCTATTAGATACCGTTTTGATCCACACAATATTCTTATAAAAGTTACTTGTATGCGTTGGGAATAATTTTCCGCACCAACATAAAAAAAAACAATGAACAATCAAAGTAAACACAAATGTACTTACACTTGCATGAAAGAGCGACTCCCATACAAAAAATAAGCCGGTCCAGCAAACACACCTCTGGGATCCGACACTAGTGTATCATAGTTTTTAAGTGCTTTAACAATTACATCTTTGTTGAAACTGACATCGTAACTTCCATCTAGTTCACGCTTAAGAATATTCTCGAAATAGTTATTCTTTTCATCAAAGTAAGCCTTGAACACAAAAATCACAATTAAGCATGGAAATGCACTTTGCATACTGCTAGAATTTTCATTCAAAATTTTAGTAAAATAACCGGTCTGTCCATCCAATTTACAGTAAAGTTTAAGGTAAAGAACTTTCTTTACCTTTAAAGTTTTGGAACTGTTTACATCTAGCATGGTTAAAAACCATGAATACAAAATTATTCGGTCTTTTAACCATTTGGGACTAGCATAATTTCAAAACTGTAAAAATGAAATTTTAGTGGAAATTGGAAGCAGTTCAGCAGCTTTACGGTGCTGACGACATCTATGGAGAGTTCTTCACATTTTGAAAGGAATGAAGCAAATATTGCTGAGAAAAAAATTCTGGCAGTTCTCGTTCTGTCAGTCATGAGTCCTCTCGTCTATAATCTGCAATCAGGTGATGGGCCTTGTGGGTGAGATAAAATTCTAGTTGCCTAACCGTACTAGGTAAAAGCAGTTAATAAATGGTTTTCTCACAGTTAACAGTTTGAATACCATCTCATTTACGGTTATTATTTGACTGTTTTGTTTGAATATGGTAAAATAACAATTAAATAAATTGCTATCTAACAATTTTTTTCGAGAAATTTCTAACAGTGCACCATAAGATAGCTCCCCTTAGGAAAATTTGCCATAGGTTTGCCATAAAAAATGCCATAGGATATTCCTATGGGGTTTTGCCTATTGCAAAAATTTTGCCATACACTTTTGCCATACATGTATGGCAAAGTTTTGCCATACATATATGGCAAAAGTGTATGGCAAAATTTTACCATAGGCGGAACCCCATAGGAATATCCTATGGCATTTTTTTATATGGCAAAATTTTGCCATACGTATATGGCAAAAGTGTATGGCAAAATTTTAAGACAGGCAAAACCCCATAGGAATATCCTATGGCATTTTTTATATGGCAAATTTTTGCCATAAAACTTAGATGTGCTACAGCTTATGACGAAATATTTTTCCATAGGCTATGGTACACCTTTGCCATGCAGATATGGCAACATTTCTCGTTGATATTTTATCATACGTCAAAAAATAGTTACTTACAAGAATCATTCGCAATGGATATTAAAAATGCAAAAGTTAATAATTGTAGAATAAATATATATCCAGAAAGCTTTTTTTTAAAATACTCTTTGATAAACTTCCCCTGTTTTACTTGCAGAATCCTTTCTGAATGCTGCTCCTATTCAAATAAATTTTAAACGGTTAGTACTAACGGATAAAAAATGGGTCCGGAGGTCGGAGCGAGTGGGAAAAATATTAGTTATGTTGACTAGGAACAAAATATATTGAGTACAGGTAACCAATATTTGTTAAAACTGTAAAAAACAAGAAAATAGAATGTGGGTATGGAGGTCGGAGCGAAATTAGTTTAAGATAGACCAAACGGGACAGAAGCAGAATGTGTAACGGTACAACCAGTGGTGGCATGTGAACAAAAGTTTGTCTATTAAAAGGATGGTGTTAGACTATGAAAAGCTAAGAATAGAAAACAGGCTAAATTAGTTGATCCCCTACTAGTGAGGGATATAAAATTCAGAAAATTTATGTTGAGTTGTGCTAAGCACAGTTAGAAAAGAAAACGCAATATAGAGACATTGGTAAATACGAAACATGTTTAAGATATGATTAAACTTGGTAAAATTAATAATTGCTATTTACACTTGGTCAGGGATAGTAAATAAAAATTAATTGGGTATAGGGCATCGCTATGACGAAAAGTTGTAAGCTTAAGGAACGATTAAATTGTTAAAAGCATTTTTGGTAACAGCAGCATATGATATGGCCAGGGACTGTCCCGTTGATAATATTGANTCAAAAGATAAATTTTATAAAATTTTTATTATTTTTCATTATTTTATTTAGTAAAAGTGAAAAAAAAAAAGAATTTTATGGTATAAATTTTCATATATATCATTTTAAGGAATATAATTTGACATGGCACAATACAAAATCTGAGTGAAATTGGTCACAAAGTTCCTGAGAAATCGGATTTTTTTAAAAAATCGTTTTTTTTAAGATTGAGTCCTACAACGTGAAGATCGAATCATTTGAACAAAAATTATTTACTGTGGTTCGATTTTTATTTTGCATAATATATATAAATATTTTACTTTATTATAATAAATTGTAGAATCTATGCAGGCACTGAATTTTAAAGTAATTTACGTTTCAACTAAACTTCTGAGAAATGTAAACTTATTTTGTAAATTTTTGATATAATCTTTTGTTTTTAAACAAAAAGAAGATATTTACTTAATTTACTTACATTTAATAAATTTATTTAAAAGGGGATATTACACTTAACGAACTAATTAGGCTTGCTAAGTATGGGCCTTGGTAATATATTAGTTTCGGGAAAAATAAATAAACTATTTTTACATAATTCAAGACTTAACATGTTTTAAATTACCGATTTGTTAAATAATGCACCATTTTGTTCTGTAATTTGTTGCCATTTTAAAGGTAGCTTCATAATGTCCCTCTAATAGAAGTTTCGCTTTCGGGGAAGCCTGTAATCTCTAGTGAGTACATCGGGGAATGCCTTCATTGGTTTTTTTCCCGTTGAGTGGTAGGAGGGAAACCGAATACCTCCCATGGAACAACAGATAGAAATCCAACTTATTAGGGCTTTGGCAAAAAATTTTTACATAGAGGATCAATCTAGAGTTTACGGCCTATAGCTCTGACCGTCAATTTCCTCCGTCGATCTCCTTGGGTAGTACCCTATTTTCACAGTAGAGCATCTCTACTCGAACAAGATCAACAAGATTGCTGTACTATCAGCACATGGTTATATTTGATCTTCCGTGGACGCGACACTACCACCACCCCAAGGAAGTCCTTGTACCTATTAGCAAAAAACGCTAGTAATCGATTTTTACTCTCTTATCTTGATGACAATTTCTTATCACTGAGGAAGTTTTGCAATGCAAGAAATAGATATTAATCGCTTCCTGCCAAGTCTGGATTATATAGTGGATGTATCAAAACTTCCCAAATAAGCTTCTGGGGTTTCTGACTAATCACTATAAATGTGTGTGGCCTAGAGCTGTCTTGATGAAACACAAAATCTCTCCTTTTCGCAAATTCTGCCCATTTCTAGCCAATCACTAACTTCAAACGTTTGTTGACAATAAAGATCCGAGTTAGTGTTTGGCCATATGGAAGCAACTCATAATAAATTATTCCTCTCCATCAAATGAGTTGCTTCACAATGTTATCGTATGTCTCCCATTTCTCATCCCCAGTCACCATCCGTTTGGAAAATAGGTCGATTTCATTTCGTTTGGCCAAGGTTTCGCAGATGAAAATTTGAGCCATCTTGTCGATCCATCAATTGGTATAGCACTTAAACGTCAACATTCTTTTTGAATCCAGCTTTGTACAAAGGATTTAAAACTGCTTTATAATTGATCTTTAGCTTCTTGACTGCTAACATGCCGGTCAACTAAGAACATTTCTGTGATTTTATCAAAACATTCGACGACGGTCTTACTTGTTTGAGCTACATCTTTAACATCAAAAATTTCTGAATTGAATCGACGAAACCAAAATTGCACGTAATCGGCTGCTACATTCACACATTCACATTTTCAACCTTCGATCTTGCATGTAATCTGTAACATGTACCGAATTTTCTCTTTGTTCATTTTTTAACACCCTGTAACTCGAAACTGAATGGACCAAGCAAAAAACAGAAAAATAATTTTTTAGGGCGAAACGTTAATTTTCCAACGAGCATAAATCTGAAATTATTTGATTGATATTTTATGATATATCGATCATTACAGCCATTTACTGAAAAAAATAATGGAATGGATATAATTTTATTCCAGGCTTATTTTTCAGAAACTTAAAAATTCTTAGTTTCATACTTAGTAAAACTTTTAAAAAATTGTTGTTAACTGTTTGATTCTATGAAAGTCTTCTTTTCGGAATAAATAAAAATATTGATTTTCCTAAGTACTTTATTTTAGTGCCTTATTTTATTTATGTAAGAATAATATAAAAGCAATACAATCGGGCGCTAGAATAATTCTCCTTGTTTTCTCTCCCTTTGAACATTGATTAAGATTTAAAATAATTAAGTAATTTATTTTAAGCTACATGCATTTTTTTATTACCCATTGACAAAATGGGTCTTGGTTTGGATTTGATGGCGAGCACAAATTTTTTAACTGTGTTCAAGAGTAATAGTAGACAGTGCGCATGCGCTGTCATTGCATGCGTTGCTATGACATCCGTTGCTGTTTTTATTTTTATTTTCACTAGCAGGCATTTTTAATGTATTCACATAATAATAATTTCAAGTATTTTTATATTCTTTTTATTATGTACGTATAATTACTGGCTTGACGGTGATCTCAATATATATATGAATGCTGAAGAAGGAAAAGTATTTTGTGACGTCTTGAAACACGTTCATGTCAAGGAACCAATCGGACGACAAACATCAATTGAGACAGTTTTTGCAACCTATGATTTGAAATGTTGTGGCGCTTAACGGAGTCAATTTGACCAATGGGTAATCTGTGATCGTAATAAGGCAACCACAACTTTTACTTAATATTTAAAAATAATACTGTGAAGAGCATGCAGGTCCACGTATGTGGTACGCATAGCGAATTTTATGACAGCGTTTAATAGTCTACTGAAGTCTTATAGCATTACAGGTATTAATTTTTTTTCTTTTTCCAATTTTTTGATGTTTTAATTATTTTAATTATTCTAATTAATAAAAGAAAGTAACGTTCTAAAATTCAAAATTTTGAATAGGATATACTACTTACTTTTTTTAAAGCTGCTCTGCAAGCTGTAATACCTCCCATACTGTGACCAACTATTATTGCTTTAGAAACTTTAATGTTATCCATAAAGTAGAAGAGATCGTCTATATTTAAATCGGAATGGAAGACATCGCTGTAACCGCTGCCACCGAAGTTCCTGGCATCATATGCATACGTCTGAAACACAGTAGAATAAAAGATTAGTCACTTATGTTTCTGTTTTCATATTAACGATTATGTAATAATAAATTATTGGCTCAAAGAAAGAAAGTATTTCTTTTAAATTAAATATAACTTAAGGCGAATTCTTATAATTCATATACTGAATCATCCTCTTATCAATAACTTTAGAACTTTTTCCTAAATTGAAAATGCTAGCATTTGAGATCGCTGTATTCTTAAAAAGCGAAACCTTGATTGTTATTGGCACTATAATTTTACCCGGTTTCTTCCCTCTCCTTTTATTCTTCTCTTCTTTGTTACCATGGTTTCGGCAAAACCTTGCTTTTTCTCAAAACTCTATTTCAGCTTCCCAATGAAACATTTTGGGTTTCCATTGTAGTCCAAAAGGGTTTCCATGAGTGTCAAAAAGTGTATTTTATATTTAAGCGAGAAAAACGAAAATTGATATCGATATCAGGCAAAATAGGAAAGCAAAATCGTAAGCTTATTTGGCTGCAGCATGGAACTTGAAGGTGTTTTCTAATAATCGCCTTTTAACTTCATTTTCTCTTCCCGCAATTAAACAGCTTTTTTTTCTTTGTTTAAATAAGGTATCTAAGTCACCAGATTCCGTTTGCACTTTTTTTTTCATTATTTTTCACAAATATATAT